ATCGCGATAAGTTTGTTAACATGACCGATAAGATGCTTCCCGACCAGCTGGTAGATTTGCTTAGCAAGGGCCCTAATTTCGCTCTCACACGATCAGTGAACAGGAACGTGATCAAAGAAGTAGAGATCGGCCTTGAGAGGGGTGTTTTTGCCTTGCGGTGGAAAAAGCATATTGAAAAAAGAAAGTCAAACCTGCATCCTAGTGCCAACAGTTCTGAGTCAGATAACGGTACTGTAGCATCAAATACGGATCAGCAAGATGAAGGTGATTCAAATACCCCTGAACCAGACATCGACCTTGACCCAGACCTGACCCAGGGAGCAAAACACAAACTGAAATTGACACCAAAGTTTAGCGACACTGACACTCGGGGCGGCACCTTTCGCTGACAGCAGCACAGAGAAGTCATTCAAAGTTCTCAAGCAAAAAGTCATGACCATCTACAAAAATCACAAAACTACATCAGAGCCCAACCATGGGCCTCATGACAGTAAAATGTTAAAACAGCTGGGCGAGGATCCAGATATCATAGTAAAACGTTCAGACAAGTGTAAGAGCCTGGTACTGCTATCAAAAAACGAATACTTACAAAAAGCAGAAAAAATAACCAAAGAATATGAAAGCGTGCCTAAAAATCCTACTACTAAATTGGAAGCTCAAACAAAAAGACTTATCAAAGATACGTTAGCAAACAAGGTACCCGACAAAGTCATCAAAAGCGTAATGCCCTCCGGAAGTCGTACAGCTGAGCTCTATGGTCTCCCAAAAACACATAAGCCAGACGCACCACTCAGACCTATCGTCTCAGCATGCGGAGACCCCCTGGACAAGTTAGCATGGCTTCTGGAAAGGATAATTACGCAGCTACTGACCTTTGTGCCGGCCCATTTGACAAACACAGACGACTATCTAGACAGACTACGGACCCAGTTTCCCCAAGGACTGCCAAAAGATTGTATAGTGTTTTCAGTTGACGTGACCAACCTCTACGGAAATATTCCCACCCACGAGGCAATCACAGCTACCTTGAATCTTATGAACAGACACTTGGACGATATTGACACTTGTGGACTCACTGTAAAGGACATCGACTCCCTCCTTAGACATTGTCTCAGCAACAACTACATTCGATTTGGCCAAAAATACTTAAAACAGACAGAGGGAGTGGCGATGGGATCCAGGATCGCCCCACCGCTAGCCATTATGTTCATGGACGCAGTAGAATCGATGATACTCACCTCTCCAAATTCAAAGTATCAGCCTATGACGTACATGAGATATATCGACGACATTCTCGGTATTTGGACACACGGACCGGACAAACTAGACGAATACTTCCGATTCCTCAACGACTTTCACCCAGCCCTAAAGTTCACGATAGAGAGGACCGACCAAACTCCAAACAGATGCATACCATACCTTGACACCATGATCAGAGTGAAAGAAGACGGCTCTTACAGCACTGAGCTCTACATCAAACCTATGACAGCCCCCATCATCATTCACTACACATCAGCACACCCGATGCAATGCAAACGCTCTGTACTACACTCTCAGCTTCTACGCGCCAAACGACTAGGTTCTGATAGACAAGCACAAGAACGGGGCATGGGACTCATGGAATCACTGTTCAGACACAATGGATACCCGAACAGACTCATTCAAAGCACTAAACACAAAATCATGTATCACAGACAAAGATCAAAAAGACGAAACACTAAGCAACGAGACACCGACACGACTTACATATCTCTCCCCTACATAGACGAGACCCTTGCACGACGAGTCAACGGGGTAGTGCGCTCATGTGGCGTACAGGCACGTATCGCGTGGACCAGTGGGAAAACGGTGGCCAAACACATCGTGAGGTCAGCGCTGGAAAGCCCCCCGTGCCCTGCTGGTGCCAAACGCTGTGCCACATGCGAAGCAGGGCTCCCAGGCCGCTGTCACATCAAAAATGCCGTCTACAAAATTACATGTAATCTTGTGACAATGAAAGTACTATTTACATTGGCGAAACAAAAAGGCGCATCCGTGACAGATTCAATGAACACTTTCGTGACGCTAAGAACAAGGCAAAAAAACACCTCTCTTGGGGATCACGTTACCCAAAGACACCCATCATGTACAATCACATCATCGTCATTCAAAATCTCCATTGAAAGAGTGTGTAAAGACGTCGCTGATTTAAAAAATATCCGAATCAGTGGGAAATAAGGAACCAAAAACCATGTTTGAACACCCAAACTTCATCCTGGCCACTTCTGCAGCGTCTATCGTACACCCCACATAACTATATTGTACATATCCACAAATTGATTGTGACAACTACTGTCTGATTGTGCCGTTGATTTAGGCTGCGCCAAACAATGTGATGAGTCATGCAGATTCTATGTTGTTATTTTGTATATTGTATATTGATCTTGTGTGTTGTATATTGTACATGTATCATAGATATCATGGACGGGCGCATCGTTATTTCGAGAGCCATGTATATATGAAATTATTCTCTCATCAAGGAGCTGATTGAAGCGCTGCACGATTTATTGATTGATGGAATCGAATTTTGTTTGTTTGTGTCGACAATTGTTTCTGTACATTCTGAAGATGGCGCAAGCCGAAATATATCAATGATTTTGTTTAATTATTCAATTTCAACAAAAAAGTGCAAAGAATGAGCATAAGGTTATTTATACATACTTTTCTACTTATGATGATGCTCAAAGATGCCATTGCTCGCCTACAACAATAGGTTAGGTTAGGTTAGGTTAGGTTAGGTTAGGTTAGGTTAGAGAGAGAGAGAGAGAGAGAGAGAGAGAGAGAGAGAGAGGAGAGAGAGAGAGAGAGAGAGAGAGAGAGAGAGAGAGAGAGAGAGAGAGAGAGAGAGAGAGAGGAGAGAGAGAGAGAGAGAGAGAGAGAGAGAGAGAGAGAGAGAGAGAGAGAGAGAGAGAGAGAGAGAGAGAGAGAGAGAGAGAGAGAGAGGAGAGAGAGAGAGAGAGAGAGAGAGAGAGAGGAGAGAGAGAGAGGAGAGAGAGAGAGAGAGAGAGAGAGAGAGAGAGAGAGAGAGAGAGAGAGGAGAGAGAGAGGAGAGAGAGAGAGAGAGAGAGAGAGAGAGAGAGAGAGAGAGAGAGAGAGAGAGAGAGAGAGAGAGAGAGAGAGGAGAGAGAGAGAGAGAGAGAGAGAGGAGAGAGAGAGAGAGAGAGAGAGAGAGAGAGAGAGAGAGAGAGAGGAGAGAGAGAGAGGAGAGAGAGAGAGAGAGAGAGAGAGAGAGAGGAGAGAGAGAGAGAGAGAGAGAGAGAGAGAGAGAGAGAGAGAGAGAGAGAGAGAGAGAGAGAGAGAGAGAGAGAGAGAGAGAGAGAGAGAGAGAGAGAGAGAGAGAGAGAGAGAACTTTGTATTTACAGACACTTAGTCCAATGCTACAGGGTGTTTCACTAAAAGTGTCAAAAAGTAAAAGGTCATAATGCACATAATAACAATGTTTTCTACGGAAATTTGCATACCATTTCATCCGCAATTGTTGGACATTTGAATATATAAAAACGATGGCACCGTCACTCAAACCTATTCCACATATCCGCCCCTTCTTTTGATGCACCGTTTCGGCACGTGTCCGGAGGTGCCTCACAGCCCGTTTTCATCTTCAGCGTCCAGACTGTCGGCAAAGCCTTGAATGGTGCTCTTCAGCTCCTGAAGTGATGCGACTTGAGTCTTCCTCAGCTCTGCGAGAGCTACTGACCAAAACCAGAAGTAAAACGGTGACAGATCGGGGCTTTGCGCTGGCCAGAGGCGGGCGGCGAGGCAGCTGATTTTTCGGTGCAGGAACTTCTAATCCAGCCAGTTCCTGGTGGTTACAGCCATTATAGTGGCTGTTTTTGATAGCTTGTAAGGCCTTGGCTATTTCTGATGTTGAAATTAGCTTCTTGTTATCTTCAAAGACCCTCAAAAAGACCCTGACCCTTTCAACGGTTTCCGCCGAGAGGTGGGGGACCCCGTCTTTTTTGGACTGCGACCGGCATCGAAGGAACCCTTTTAAACCTCTCAAGAAGCCCTTTGAACCTTTTATAATCTGGAACGTAGCGAGGTGAGAGAATAAAACGTTTCCTGAAAAGTCGGCATACGGTTTCAATGTTTCTGATGGCACCAAATGTAAGTGTAATTTACCCCTCCTGTTGCGGTGTAAATAACCTGTTCTTGATCTGCATAAGGAAAAAAACGACTAGTAACTTTGGCCTCCTGCCCTCGCTCCGTATGAGTGTAAAATATATCTTAAATGGACAAAGCATAAATGTCCAAAAATTTGCAACCAAGCCACGTGCGCAACCACGTGATTTGCATATTTTATATAACTTTAATAGGCATTTACTTTTTGACACTTTTAGTGAAACACCCTGTACATAACATGAAGATTCATGGCACTCCCAGAGCATCATTCCATGCCGCTCTTAGCGGTGATCGCCGGCGTATGTCACTGTCAACCGGGACATTGATGATCGCGTTGGTGGATGCATCTAAACGCTGCATGAAACCAGGGTATATTGAGTGAAGGGTAGGACGAACTTTGGTAGGAATTTCTAGTATAACTACTAGAAAACCTACTATATGTGGTCGGGACTAGCAAAAACTTAGTTCAAACTAGAATATGGTAGCGCTTATGGTTGGCAGTCGTGACGCGCACGTGACATTCAATTATTAAATTTATTAAAGGGACTATCCCACCTTCGAAAAAATCCCGTTTAGGATTCGGAAATGTTACTTAGGGCACTGTGACGAATTCTGCAAGTTTTTACGCGTTTTCATTGTATACTTTTTGAAATATTGCGACTTTAATATTTCATCGTGACGTCATTTAGATCGGATCTGTGACGTAATGAAGGATTTACTTCATGCCAATGAAGGGGGAAATTTGGCAGCAAATATATTTGCTTTCAAATATGACGCGGCTCATACAATAACAAAAGCGTCTCAGATTGGGCATTTTGTAGTTGGTGGTATGATAGTCAAGTATGTTTGACTTCCTGCATATAAAATTCATAGGGCCTTGATAAAATTCAAATACTAACATCACAATTCACATAGGAAAGGAACATGTTTTCACCATAACTTTTAAAAATTTGTGTCAATTTGGAATACAATTAAAGTGAACAAGTGTGAAATTTGAATGAAAATAACCAACATTCCTGACCTAACCTTACCTACTTTCCTAAAAAGTTTGTAATACCCTTAATACCAACCTAAAACCCCCATGCCAGATGTCTACAACATACAAACCTTTCAACCAGCCTACTACAGTACCTAACACCTCACAACCTATTCCATTCCGAACCTATTGATTGGGATTTTTGTATACTTTTATACTCATTGCATCCTAGCTTGCTATTATAGCAAACATGCAGGTATTTAAAGAAATGTTTTGTTTTTCCTTTTTAGCTGTTGAAATTTCTTGAATGCAAACACAACACAACACACCATGCGCACATGACAGAGGTCTCCGTCACTGCGGAGGGAAGATCGCAATGCTGCTTGCAGGCTGTTGACAGAAAGTGATCAGTAAGTTATGACCCTATGCATAATGCTACAATTATTTCTTTTGTATGATACAGGGAGTTGGTCAGAGATTGAACAGGTCTCAGCATCATATATTTGAATGCTGATAATTATGTATACGAGCATTGACCAATCAATTGAAACTAGAAAAGTAGATAAGTGCTTAACAAAATGGATTGGTGAAGATTAGATTGCCTATATAAAGCATGCAATGTTGACTTCATAACATACTGCATAAAAATGTAGTCTGTTCCATGTTATGTTTGCGCTTATGGTCAAAGCTGCTTCTTCAATTTGCTTCTTCGTTCAATCTAGGGATGTAGCCAAGGGAGTGGCCACGGCTGTCATGGTCTACCCTAAAGGCGAGAAATAAAATAAAATAAAGATAAATAAAAACAGCTGTACCATACCCCCAAAAATAGTGGGCCAAATCCGAGTTTTCCTTTTTGGAGGGGGTACGACGCTAGGCCGCGACCTGTGGCCCCTCCCTCAGTAAAATCTTGGCTATGGCTCAATAATTTGAGTCTATGCTTTATGTCTATGACTATTCTATACAGGAGCTATGCAATCCTGTTTTCTTTCTAGGTTCATGCTGTTCTGAGGTGAAACATTTTCCTGGCATGGTGGCACTTTGTCAGTGTGGGGTGAGGTAGGCATCCACTGTGATGTGACTGACCCTGTCGGCTCCCACTCCCCCTCTGACCCGGCCATGCGTCCCGCCAGGTTGTCGTGTTCCGCCAGCTGCTGCGCCGGCGTTGGCAGCGCACAGCCGCTACCAGCTGACACGCCGACCGGTGCGCGGCGCGCGTGCGCCGGGCGCCGACGGCCGTCGTCTGGCAGCAACAGCGCTGCCAGTGACTCGCGCTGCTGCTGCAGAAACTGGACAAGGATCGTAGAATCCTGGCGTGTTTTTGTAACGTCCATTAGAGTGATTTAGACGCAGCGTGTAGAAAGGACTCGTTTATTGACGTGTGACTTTCTGACAGCTCAGTCACCTGTTGACGGCGGCGCACAGCGTCACCTACCCGCCCTACAGCCGGCCCAGCAGGGTGAGTAGTGAGTACCAATACCCGCCCTGCAGCCGGCCCCAGCAGGGTGAGTAGTGTGTACTGAGTAGCGCTCAGAGTTAGCTTGAAGTTGTTTAACATGATGCACTGTTCTTCATGAGTCGTCCCCATCGCTACTTGTGACTTGCAAGTTCCTTCTTTTTCGGCAGTGCGTCCCAATTATATCAGCGATTTTCACCTCTGAGAAGTGTAGTTGCCGTACTAGTGAAAAAGCGTATATCTTTGAAATAAACATTCCGTTTCATCTGCCCACTATCACTAACGCCCCTCTGCCCTCTCCTGCAGCGGCCGGGGAGACCCACCTGACCGCTCCTTCCCCCTGTTTTGCTGCAGGCGGGGAGGCCCGCCCTGACCTTCTCCTCTACCCTCTGCCCTCTCCCGCAGCGGACGGAGAGGCCCGCCCGGGCCCAGTGCCGCACGGAGAGGCGGCGGCGCTGGAGGCCAACACCCCGGCTCGCGGCCTGTAGCTGACGGTGCTGGAGCCGCGAGTCACCGTGGTGGCTGGCCATGGAGACTTGGAAAAGGTGGGTCTCCGCGCAGCGGAGGAAGGGGCGGCGGCTGACAGTGGTGGCCGCCAACGGGGAGCTGGGCGGCGCGGGTCCGTGCATAGCGGGGATGTTCGAAAAGGCAGCATCAGCTGCATTGTTTGAAGAGCTGCTGCAGTTAGGCGTTGAGATATGATCGCAGACTTGCAAGGAGATGGGCTCCTGAGATGCGTGCTTTTTTGCTCCGATGATCCGGCTGATCGCTGTTGATCTATGATGTCGCATCACCCGCGCGCGGTCACCAGGCCGGGGAGGTATATAGGTACGTCTACAGCAGCTGTGTTATTTGTCTGTCCCGGTTGTATCACCCAGTCTTCCCCCGTCCCCAGGCCGGTGAGGTGCGTCTCCCAGCATTCAGCTGGTGTATTGTTTATCTGTCCCGGTTCCCCCGTCCTCAGGCCGGTGAGGTGCGTCTCCAGCTGCGCTGTCAGACGATCCAGTGGAACGAGCAGCAGCCCATGTACCCGTCCCGGCTGTGCCGGTGTGTCTCCCAGCTTGAGCGGCGCCGGCCGACCGCTGCGCTGCTCTACAACTGCCACGTCCACACACGATGCACGGTCAGTCATTATACCGAGTAATGCTAATTATAACCGCGGGTGTTTTGTTAGAATGGCCCTGAGAGTGTGCCGTTGTTGTGTGATTATTGTTGAGTGCGTTTTCTAGTTGTGAAGTACACTGTGGTAGGCTCGACATAACTACTCATTAGAAGTGGCGGGAACACTGCTCCAATGCCCTATTGTCGATTGGAAATGAATAACTACGGCCGCGGCTCCTGACTGTATCCCTTTTCCCCGTGCGCCCTACAGGTGACGGCTGACCAGGCGGTGCTGGTCTCGGCCGCGACCGACGGCCAGCCCGCCCAGGAGCACCAGGCTTTAGAGGCTGATTAGTGGGCAGATACATTCAATTAGCTATTAATAATTGATTATGCAAACATTCAAGAATCTACATCATTCAATTCTAGCCGAAATCACGCGGCGCTCCCAGGATTCGAACTCACGACCCTCGGATCCGTAGCCCGATACGCTACCGACTGCGCTACCGAGGACCGCGCGCTTACGATCGGAGAGCCGGATCGCGGGTGCTGGCGTGCAGAGAAATCTTTACCCTGTACGCCGTAGAAGTTCGGCTGGGTTTCGTGAAAAATGGTAGAGGAATTGTCGAAAGAAAATTCATCGATCTATCATTTGAGACTAAGAACCATTGATTCCTTCAAAGGTTGACCGAGATATCGCTCGACGAAAACAGGTCATTTAACATGTAAACCCTATGGGCTGGTAGGAAATGTACGCCGTGGAGCAGCAGTGCTACCAACTAACTTCGGCGGGGGCCGGCATGAAACCCCATGCTGCTTTTCGGTACATCACGTCAAAATTAGGTTAGGTTAGGTTAGGCTAGGTTAGGTTAGGTTAGGTTAGGTTAGGTTAGGTTAGGTTAGGTTAGGTTAGGTTCGGTTAGGTAAGGTTAGGTTAGGTTAGGTTAGGTTAGGCTTGTTATGGTTGGGTTAGGTTAATCTAACCTAACCTATCCTAACCTAACCTAATCTAACCTAACCTAACCTAACCTTACATAACCCAACCTAACCTAACCTAACCTAACCTAACCTAACCTAACCTTACCTAACCTAACCTAACCTAACCCAACCCAACCCAACCCAACCCAACCCAACCCAACCCAACCCAACCCAACCCATCCCAACCCAACCCAACCCAACCCAACCCAACCTAACCTTACCTAACCTAACCTTACGTAACCTAACCTAACCTAACCTAACCTAACCTAACCTAACCAACCTAACCTAACCTAACCTAACCTAACCTAACCTAACCTAACCTAACCTAACCTAACCCAACCCAACCTACCCAACCCAACCTACCCAACCCAACCCAACATAACCCAAACCAACCCAACCCAACCTAACCCAACCCAATCCAACCCAACCCAATCCAACCTAACCTAACCTAACCTAGCCTAACCTAACCTAACCTACCCAACCCAACCCAACCCAAACCAACCCAACCCAACCCAACCCAACCCAACCCAACCTAACCTAACCTAACCTAACCTAACCTAACCTAACCTAACCTGTCCTAACCTATCCTAACCTAACCTAAACTAACCTAACCTAACCTAACCTAACCTAACCTAACCCAACCCAACCCAACCCAACCCAACCCAACCCAACCTAACCCAACCCAACCCAACCCAACCCAACCCAACCCAACCCAACCCAACCCAACCCAACCTAACCTAATCTAACCTAACCTAACCTAACCTAACCTAACCTAACCTAACCTAACCTAACCTAACCTAACCTAACCTAACCTAAACCTAACCTAACCTAACCTAACCTAACCTAACCTAACCTAACCAACCTAACCTAACCTAACCTAACCTAACCTAACCAACCTAACCAACCTAACCTAACCTAACCTAACCTAACCTAACCTAACCTAACCTAACCTCAGAGGTCGATAAAATGCTTGGAGTTGCTCCAACGAACATCTTAGTCCCATCACTGTCTCCAACTTAGCCCTCGCCTGGCGGGAGGGGGGATGCAGCCTCCCTAAGTTTTTTTTTTTCGCGAATAGCGTAAAAGGTGGTGTCGCGTCGCGCCGCAAAATTTGGCACAACGTCTGGGAATGAGCCTCTTGCGACATATCCTGAAAATTTCAGGTGCCAGTCATTTCAGGACCTGGACTATGACTATGAAAAGTACGACCAGTATTGGTACTCACACCTTTCCTTTGAATTAGACGGATAAACAGGCGCCATGCCTATAAATTTGCCCAAGCAAATGATATGCTAGATGAACAATGCATGCACAACTGTCTAATCACTGCCAATTGCCGCGTCGGCACACCGGCATCTCCTCACCTTCTCCCCACACGGCCTTGACTCCCCAACTCACACCATCACACTACTGCATACGGTGACCGGTCACACGGTGGATCTGAATGCCTACGTTTTCATGCCAAAGTCTGAAAAAACTAACGATTATCATCAGCGTAGAAATGTTGAAATTTAGCATTTTAAAGCTTTTAACTTAAAACTTTATAAGTGTGTTTTAACGCACTTGTCCTTATTGATTGAGAAAAGAGCGCACTTTTGATCGTATTACCTCATACGAAGTAACGCAATCGAAGTGTGATTCCGGTCCACTGTGCGTTTTCAGGCGCGCTCGATAAAACACCCAGGCCTGGAGAAAGTTGGAAGGGTGATTTTCTGATCCTCCTTACCACAAAATGACCCTAAGCGAAAAAATGCCCGCGGGGCGCTGCCAACGCGTGCCAGCGGCCCTGCTAGTAAGGGCGAAAATCAATGCATGTGTATGCGGAGCACACCCTTAGCGCTACGATGGCTCCTTGGAGACACCTGGAGAAACCTCTGCCGGCAGAAGGGTCAGGTCCCTCGCAGACGGCGCGGCACGGCGGGAGCTTAGCGGGTGGCCTAGCCGGAAAGAGGATAAAAATAGCCGACTGGCCCGACCCAGCGAGGGGTGACCGAAGGGTGACCAGGAGTGAATGAGGGAACATACATACACGCGGTACCGAGCAGCCGATAACAGCACCGGACGATTAGAAAGTCATAAGTCAATGCTGTATTTTAGGCGTAAGGAAGCATCCATGTAGACGGGCGGACTGTCTCCAGCTCTTCCAAGTATTGCTAAGATCTTGCTCCAACGAGCGTTGGCACGTTGGAAGTTTTATCGACCACTGCCTAACCTAACCTAACCTAACCTAACCTAACCTAACCTAACCTAACCTAACCTAACCTAACCTAACCTAACCTAACCTAACCTAACCTAACCTAACCTAACCTAACCTAACCTAACCTAACCTAAGATGCGATCGACTTGTTGGGTAATAAGCCGGCCATGATCGTGTAAAATGGCTTCATCGTAGATCGATTAGTTTCTGAGATATAACCGGAAATGTAAAAGTGCAAAACCTACCGCTTAATCTCGCGAGACCTGTACCTGAGCCCTGAGCGCGCCCATGTGTCGCCCCCCAGGGCGTGTCGCCGGACGGTTCTGTGTGTCGGACTGAATCCTGAACCTGCCTGAGTGTTATGCTATGACTCCCCAGGGTGTGTCGCCGGATGGGGCGGCCGGCTACCGGGACGGGCTGCAGCGGGCCACCAACGGCCACCCGCTCTCCGCCGAGGAGGTACAGAAGGTCGTCAGCCGGGTGAACCAGCTCTCCAGCTAGCGGCGATGAGGTCAGTCACCGCACCGGGCGTATTGCACGGGGACCCTAACAGACGCCTCACTCCTTTCCCTCATCTCAGTTGTTCTTTCATTTTTTATTATTATAAATAATGGAGATAGACCAGGGGCCGTATTCACGTCGATCATTTTCGTAAGAATTTTCTCAAGTTTGACCTACTTCTTATGTAAATTTTTTTATTCACGTGAACTTCGTCGATAAAAACTTAAGAAGTGCCGACGTGAATGCCAAATTATGCTTACGAAAGAAAATCGACTTACGAAGTCGACGTGAATACGGCCCCAGAGCATTTTCGGTGCATTTATTAGGGTCATGTTACTCCAACGGGGTTGCGTTGTCGGCACAGTCCTGTCTGGTCTGTGTGCTGCGGCGATGCTCTGCCATCCGGTGACCCAACGCCACTGTCCGCTGACCGAGTGTCGTCTCTTTGCTGACCGTGTAACGTCTGTCCGTCAGGGTGGTGGCCGTGAACGCCTGTCGGACGGCGCCGGAGGGCAGCGCCGGCCGGCTGCTGTCACTGCTGGACCAGCTGCGGCTGCCGGACGCCGGAGCGCTGCCCGACTGGGGTCTACATCCTGGTATGTTACTGGGAGCGGCACGGTGTGTGTTGGGTGCTTCTGACGGTCAGTTGTAGTAACTGTTAGTTCCTCTACTGGCCACCAGGTGAAAAGCGTATTAGCTGTACAGCAATGTAGAGTTGCTTCAGCTTTGGCGTAAACTTTCTCCTCTTCCGCTCACCATTCACCACCAGAGTCAGCAGCGTCTCGGCTGGCGGTCCAGTCAGTCAGTGCGAGTGTCTTCACTCGCGACAGCGGGCCGGACCCATTACAGGGCAGCAGAGTTATCAGTTACCAAGCCTTGACCTATAAAGAAAACCAGGAAATAGTAGCAATTGCATATATGTAATGATTCTACTCTATTACGATTGAGCTAAGACAGCTGAGCTGTGCACGCCGTCGGCCAGACTTGTAAGCGACTCAATTTTTTTTTAGTCGATTCTTTGTTTGAGTCTGAAAATTTGAATCGATTCATCAAACGACTCATGATGTTAAATTTAATTGATTCGAATCAACTCATGACTCATCAAGTTCCTCGATAAAATGATTCGAATCAACTCATGACTCGAGCAACTAGCCAACGGAATGATTCGAATCAACTCATGACTCACACATTTTGATGAATAGATTCAAACCAACTCATGACTCACACGACATTTTTATTGAACTTATTTCATTCAACCCATGACTCACTATAGGCATTTGTTGATTATTTGACTCAAAGCTATGATAAAATGAATATGCTGCATACCAAAATTGTATTAAGCAGCATAGTAGCCTTGACCAAAGATTCAAGCAGCTACCTAGTAGGACTAGGTACATAGGTACCTACCTTACACCTACCTATCTTCAACACTCAACAGTCAACAGTGCAATGTCAGATAAATTTGTAAGTAACTCTGAGAGACAATTATAATATAAGTAAGGACTAAGGAGTAGCATAGTAACCATCTCTTATTATTACCTAGAAAGTCTTATTTGAAAATTTAAAAGCACAAGTTCCGAGAGGCATTCATGTTTTTTTTTTAATCAAACTTTTTCTACATGATAATGAGACAAATGTTACTACTTCATATTTATCAGATAAAATTATTCAAACAGTACAACCTCAAAAATAGGATTAATCCCACCTGTGAAACATTCAGCATCCGC